CTTGCTTGAGTGCAGCAGGTGTCCGAAATTTTCTGGCAATTAATGATGTAAAGCCCGCGAGTTGAAAAATTTCCCAATAAATCTCTGTTTGCTGTCCCTCCGAGGGACGTGCACAAATTGTTAATACAATTTCTTTTCCATTCCTAAGATCACGATGACGAACACCACGTCATCACGAAGCTACAGTATATTTGCTGAGAACGTACGAGTACAGCACCTGCATAACATGGCATGTCAGCGACTGACCTGCACATCGCTTCATATAATTACTGTACTTTTGCAACTCATTTCACGCGCAGTGCGATTTTTGATCCCGTACTCACTAATCTACAAATTTTTCTCCACCAGAAACTGCATGAATAATCTGAAATTCATCGACCAATATTATATAACTATAAAAGCATGTTTCAGACTAATAAGATTGCGCTGCGACGATATGCTGGTCGTATGCTCGCGCATGATGAGACCATTTTGTATAGCTGACTTAGAATGAAACTCAACGCGACGTTATTACGGGGCTGTGCCTGAAAGAGGATGACCGAGAAACAGAATACTGTCTACTGCGTTGCAGAGGATGAAGGTGGAAACCAGCTTACGAATATTGTACGTCGTAAATCACCGTCTTGCGGAGCATGTACCCAAACCGTTATGCGTTCGCATTTCTCACCATTCTTCGTCCGTTTAGCCCTTCCTCAGAGTATTTCACAATATATGTCGAATTGGGCCTATGATAAAGCAAGCTCTGCAAGCAGCTGATGTACCGAGCTACCGACCACATGAACGCTTGGTGCAGTCTCGATTAGTAATAAAAATAATTTTATGATGAGACAGACCTGCGGGACGTTCGTCATACCGAGAGAATGGAACACTTCAAGTTTATAAACCCAGCGAACCGTTTAATATTATCTCTCATGATGATACTTTTCTATGACGAAAATGAGAAGCGGCATTGGACACCCACATAGATCAACTAATGCTTGAATCAAAGTGGAACTAAGCCTTCGCCAAAATCGCGACAAATTCTTCCACGAAAATCGTTGTTTTCTTTTAAACTGCTGTATTGGTTCCGAACTAGCCCTGAATCTTTTTCGAATATAGTTCTTTCTCATTTTCTCCAGGAATATCGAAATGATGAGAGGTTTTCATGACACAATAAAAATACAGTGCTTCTGAATAAGGCGGAATATATTTATTTTCTGACCCTCCTCATCGTTGAATGTTGAACTTTAGTATGATCAAATTTTGAAAATAATTAAGATTAGGAAGTTGCCGATTCTCAGTAAAAACTTTACACACAGTATTCGATAGATTAAAGATCTACATCGACTAATATTCTCGATCACGAGTTTCTTTTTCATCACATCCATTTAACATGGGATGTACGTCGTTTCAACAACGAACTACACGGGCTTCCAAATTTCAGCAAGATGGCACTTCGACGACCAGAAATCACTTTTTGTGTCAATTGGCTACGCGGTAGATTTAAAATTGTTTGATATCCTCATTGATCCGAGTATTTAGTTCTACGTTTATTTTCAAGTTTTTGGATAGGATTATTTTTAGGACATACCGAACTATCGCGTGTAGCTTTCATGCAAGAAACGCACACGTGAAAAATTATACTGTTCTCATAAGTATTTCAAGTACCTCGCCGGAACGAAGATCAATCTTGTTAAAAAACAGATCTTCATAGTATAGGTAAAATTATTGCTTCGCTTTATTATCGTTGCTTCTAGACATACTATGCCTTTCCAGATATACTGTCGTGCAAGATTCTACAGTATTGTTCTTTGGAAATGAAGTGCGGAAACCCAAGCATCACGCCCTGTGCTGCTCAAGTCATGAATGCAGCAGTGCAGCTTGATTTGATGGTACAGTACCTGTATACCCCTTCATCCATTTGCTCGCGTTGATCAAACTAAAAGTTCCCCCACGATCATCGAAGGCAGAAGAAAAACACGATTAAATGCAAACTAGTCCTGCTATTCCTCTGCATAGACGCGCAGTTTTTAAAGTCGCTGCTATCTTGCGCAGAGCTTTTCTCAGTTGATATACCATACTCACATATGCATACATATACGGTATTTTCTCTGCGTTCAAGTTTTGTAGGCTTGGCCAGAAAAACATTGGGAACTGCAAATTAAATTATTCACTACCAAGTAGAGTATAGTACATCATATTATTGCTTGGGCCGGCTCTTACGCCATGCTAATGTTGATGTACTGTATTTATACAGTAGTCACAAGAAAAAAGCATAGAAGCTTCTATTTTAAATTCCTCGACTCAGATGATCGGTAAGTGCCGAGCACAGTATGCGGTTGCGATGATTAAGCAACAGAACGCAGATTTCGAATAAAAATTTTTGAGGAAAGGCGTGAAATGCTTAATCACGCAAGTTTCTTCTATATATCAGGGGTATTTTTTTCTGTGGTATGGTTTGATACTGGTCAAATGTACTGTACTTGTAAATGCGCCATTCTCGTATGAGTACGATGTTTTATTCTTAACTCGGTTGTTGTGCTACTAGTGCTAGAATCTTCGGACATTTCGTACAATATTCGTTTTAAGCTGGTTTCCACCTTTCATCCTCTGCAACGACGCAGTAGACAGTATTCTGATTTTCGGTCATCCTCTTTCATGCACAGCCCGGTAATAACGTCTCGTTATCGTCCAGGTACAGCAGATTCAGTTCAAACTACATTATCTCAAGAATGGTGACCATCAAAAAGCAGAATTTTGAATGACTACATTTGAAAGTCATGGAATTCCAAATGGGATGGGTGTTAATTTTCCTTTTTAATATCACAATGAATGGTTTTATATGGCCCACGTGACGTACAATAAAAATAAAAATTTTGAGTTTTCTTGAATGAAAAAGCCAATATCAAAAAGTTTTGACCAACATTGACAAAAATGACCTTCCCAAATTGCATTATTGATCATTAGCCCGTTTCGGTCATTTTATGCTGTAAAATTTTAAAAGCTAGTTTCAATGGAATAAATAATTGTTGGAAAAGCTTATAATCAAAAGATGGTATCATTCTGCACATTCATCATTGCAGATTCACAAATATGTAAAATCTGTTCTTATTTTGATGGAATTAATGATAAATTCAATCTTTTGAGATTATGAATCTGCAAAATTTTTGAAATTTTATATTTAAATAATCATGAAACTATGCACATAAAATAGCTTAAACCAGTGTTTCCTAATATTTTTGGGCCCATGGACCAGCAAATTGACATGAAATTTTTTGCAGATGGCAAATTCCCCCAAAAATTCTATTAACTGGCAAAGTTTAATAAATTTTTGCAGATTCAAAAAATATGTGTAAGACTTCATACGGTAGGTACTAAAAAGTATTGCTCTTTTGTAAAAATTAAGTTAATAAACAATGAAGCAGGTATATTAGTGGAATGTCTTCAAAAATTAAGAAGGTGGGCTTGAAGAAAAAATTCTCAGAATGATAAATTAAAAGGCTTTGTTTCATCAGAGGAAAATTTGTCTGAAGTGCTATTAAAAGAACAGCCAGCATTTATTCTTCATGGAATAATTTTAACTGCCCTTGTCCTTCCAAAATTTCAGAAAAGATACTGTAATGACCTTCATTGCTACTTTTGATTAATTTATCAATCAGCTGAAGAAAATTTCCCATCAACTGGCAAAAAAACTCTGTGGACTGGCACTGGTCTGAGGACCACAGGTTGGGGAACACTGGTTTAAACCCAAACTAAAGCACATTGGTAATAAAAAAAATGTACAAAATTCATCTAAAAAATCCACTCTTTGGCATCCATTTAGATAATGCAGCTTGAATTACAGAGCAGTAAATCCTTGTATACTACAGTAATTTGGAAAATATCCCAAAAATAATGAATGAAGTACAGTACTTGCATAGAATTTATGCAAGCTAAGTTTGATTTTATGCATATATCCAGTACAGTATATACATTCTGTATATCCCAGTGAGCACAAAGTTCTCCAAAACATGTCCAAAACTCATCCAAATGAGTGGACATGTCCTGGTATTATCCAAAAAATTTACACAAAAGTCCAGCACAGGACTTTCATCGACATCTTTGGAGAACTTGTCTGAAAAAATTTTGCTCTGGCAGATCAATTTTGTATAACTGATGAACAAGTTCTCAAAACTTGTCTGCCAGCTTTCCATACCTGCTGGTTGTAAAGTTTTGAGAACATGTGGATTTAGCTCGTGACTTGTCTCCATCCACAAGCTAGATCAACATTATTTACCAAACAGCAGTAAAACTGATTAAGTGAGATGTATAGCTATCTGACTAAGGTGTCAGATGACTTCCATACTGGAGCTCATGGGTTCAATCCCAGGTTAGGTAGTATGGATATCTATATTATCATATAGATAGGATAGCTTCTAGACTAAATGATTTAACCTGATACATAGATGGAATGAATAAATATAAGCTTAACAAATATGCAAAGAAGGTATACTAATTAAAAAATAAATATAATATTACAGGAGGGTCAAAAAAATCTACCAATAAATTTAACCATGTAAAATCAGCACACAAAGAAAAAATTCATATTGAAACATAGTAGTCAATTCCTTGCATCCTGGGCTGGGAAACTTGTATCCCAATATTGTTTAATTTTGAAAAAAAGTACAAAATTTGCAGGAAACTGGGACAACTTCTGGAAAAAAATCAGACCTTTTGCGCAATTTTTATCCAAAAGTTTTCCCAGTTCTCTTGAGAAAGTGCATGAAGGCGGTGGACGTGTGATCATCTTTGATTTCCATGCTCATACAGTATGCAATAGCACATGTGGTTGCTGTTTCTGTTAATATTTTACTTGACGTGAAATCGTGAAGGTAAACGTAAGAAATATATTTTGAATGAAGTCCAAACTATAATTTTCATGCAATCATTCTTCAGAAAGCAAGTGTTTTGCGCATTCGGTTTCCTCTGGCTGGACTGCCGGTAAATGGTTAGTGGCGGGGAACTTCGTGGAGTGCGGTTTTAAATTCGTTCAACTAGCCCACCAGCATGTAGTGGAGCGCTAGTTGTTGCCTCTGGCCCCGGACGGATTGAAGGCTTCCCGAGAATTCCTAGTTCCGTTCCGTTGCTGGAGAATGGAAGATGGCGGAGTCTGAGAAGGGGGTGGGATTCCAGGCAAGTGAATTTGGTGTGGATGAAAAGTTGAAAAGATTACGTTTGCCTCCCCGTCCTCACGCCACCATTGACGAAGTAAACGGTGAAGTTGCTCCTGGTGAGTTTTCATTTGATCGTTCAATAAACGTGGGCCATCCCGCTTGACCCCTGAGTCGTTAATCGTAATAAAATGTCAGACTAGATATACATAGTTTCGTGCACCCCTTGCCGCTGTGCGATCGTCTTGAGCATTTATCTTGGATCAGAACAGTGATTTAAACCGTGTCTCACGTTCAGAGTGTCAGCCTAATCGGTTATTCTTCCGTCCACCGATGCAGATGCCAAAACCAATGGTATCGGGAGCCTCAGAGGAACTTCTGCATCTGGATCGTCGAAAGTATCATCCGCCGAAAAGCGCGGAAGGTTTAACATAGGGCTGCTGCTACGTCCGTGGAAATGGCGGAAGCGGAAGAAATCGGAAAAGTTCGAGGCCGCTTCGAAGTGTGAGTCTAGGATTGCGTTTTCCTCTCCCATTGTCTGACTTGATAAATCTTTTCTTAGGCCTCGAACGCAAGATGTCGATGAGAAGTGAAAGGGACGAGCTCATCAAAAAGGGTATACTACTTCCTGATTCGTCTCTGTCCCCAGTTTCCTCGGAGCCATCAGATATCGGGAGTGCACTTCACTCTTCAAATGATGGCAAGTCCAGTATAAATGGAGTTACTTTCGCTTGTTTTTTGGGCAGTAAGATCTGCTGATGTTGAGGCGTTGGAACGCTTACAGCTGTGCGAGCTCGTGACGTTAGAAACAGCATTTGTATCTTTTTTTCAGGCAAGTTGGCTCATGAATATAGTAACGGGGATGCAACGGGAGATAATATGCATGTTTCATCGGGAATGGGTCCCGAACTTGTGCCATCTCGACCCTCCGTGGGCGAAAATTTGGAGTATACTTCGGACGGAGGTATCTGCGAGTCGTATCTCAACTCCTGGAACACAGGTCACTTGGATCCTCCCACGTCGGCATCTTCCACGTCCTCCTCGTCATCTAACGGTCTTCCAGCAATACCACCCCCACCTCCTCCGCCTGCTGGCACACAGCTCGGTCGTAATTCTCCTAGCGCTGTCCATCATGGCATTTCACCCCTTTCCAAGTTTATGCAAACCTCGCCGCTCGTGGGAAGCACCGGAAGCTTGCCACAGCGTTTTCCGCCAGCCTCGTCAGCTGCTACTCCCTTCCGTATTGCCATGCTCGGCAGCCGCGGCTCTGTTCCTACGCCGCAAACTTCAATCGGGAGCAACGTTCAGACGTCCACTCCTGCAAATGTGACCAGCTCAGCAGCGCCGTTCACCTATGGTTTTCCGGCTCCATTGCAGACTTCAGGACGATTGCCCGTGACGATGGGCAGTCCTTTGCCGGGTGGCGTCTGGCGACCGCATTCATGTCCTATTGCATTCAATGATATGCATCAGGAATTTTCCAACTCTTCTCTAGTCAGTGCTCGTGGGTCACCAAGTGAGCATGAATCAGTTTCATCAATTATAATTTCTATAAAATTTCATATTGTCACTGCATGATCCTCGAATATCCTGGAATACTTTCATCGCGCTGACTTGTTTATTGCGGATCCTTTTACCGTTGTTTAGTAACCCTCGGCCTTCTGAATTTTGCGTCGGACTATTTTCTGTTTGGGGTACAAGCTTGTGTATTACTGTTCACTAACAGCTCCTCGTCTGAATCCAGTTAGCATCCTTATTGCACATTTCTGCTTCCGAAGTAGATTTTGTACGTCCTTTTCAACAAATTCAAGTGGAATGATGTCAGTCGCATCGCACTGAGCTTCGTTGACTTGAATCAGTGCCATGGACTGAACCGTTAATTTTTACCTTTCTCATCTTATCGATCTTCGTAAGAGTCATTTCGCGCGTAACATCTGGGATACTCTCATACGCCCTTCCGTTTGTGGGTCACTGAAATTCGATGTCGAAGCAATTACAAAGTTAGGTATTGCCTCGCATTGTATGTGAGGATATCTGGTAGTTCTGTGTCATTCTCAGAACCGACGTGAGATATGAGCACCTCGTTCGGTCTTTTTCAGTTGGTGGTAACCCAAGTACCGTGAAAGAAAGCGGAAGCGAAGAGGAGTCGCCATCGCAAGCGCGTAATCTCGTTCCATCACAGTTCCTTCAACGTCGGATGATGGGCTCAGCGCTCCTGCGGTCGGGTCACGTGGACGCTAATAGCAAACCGCGGCCTGGTGGAGAATCCCCGAAGCCCACCGGGAGCACTGCCGAGTTCGATCAGAGCAATCCTCCACCGGCGTACCCGCATTCTAGCTTGCAAGAACTCCCTGAGCCTCCGATTCCAGTGTCTGAAATTGGGCCCATTCCTCCACCGCCGATGTTCTCGTCGCCTAGTCCGCTTCTACCTCCGAAACATGGACAAAGCGTTCAATTTCCTTCACCTATGGTCGGACCGCCGCCTTCCTATAGTAGTAGCACTGCTACCCGTGGAGTGCACGCAGCCATCCGACCGCAAGGTGGCCCGAGTGGTGTTCAAAATGTGTCCACGGTTCCTTACTCTGTGAATTCTACCATTGATCCCAAAGGATCGATAGAATCTCGATCTGCAACATTGGCTGCTGTGGAGGCAAATCTCGCCGCGGAACTCAAGCTGATGAATCAGCTACGAGCCCGTGAGTATTATTCTTGGAATATATGCGATTGTCAAAGCAACCGCTCATGTACAGTGCGAGAGAGTCAGGTATTTTTGAGCACGAAATGGTTTCAGGCAAATTATGGCGAAATCTGAAAATGGTTGTCATTTTGACCGGAGTCCCGTTGAAACAAATGAGAAATCGTTACTATCGGTATTCTAAGTGAGGTAGCACATTGATTAAGCATACTTCCATTGTTATGAAGCCGGACTGCCTAGCGTGCTAATCCACGGCATTTTGTAGAGCATGATTTTTCGAGAAATCTTCATCTGTTCCTTTAGTTTCTGAGCTTGTCAGGAATATACAGTAGCTTATTCAAGATCATCATATTCAGGTTTCCAGAGTATTGGGAGGAAGGCCTAATTGATTTTGCGAAAGCTCGATGAAGGCCTCTGTACTACTTCACTGTATTACTTATTCGGAATTGACCGATGCAGTATCTTGATTAGTGCTTCCTGCTCGTGGCGATTGGGTGCGCCACGAATGTCACTTGCATCATCCGTTCCTCCTTCATAGTGCGTCTTCTACTTTCTTGTGCTACTTTTTGAGGTAAATGCAATCGTGATTGCGTCTTATATCTCTAATGATCATTTCATCTAGCTTAAAGTCGATTTGTAGAAGCTTAAGGAATTCCGCGTATCACTCTTCACGTGGTTCCAGACGATGAGCGCATGAAAAATGCGCTTCGCCTCACTGTTCATGAATTGTTTCAACTGTAGCTTTGGTTCAGTCGCCGTCCTGCAAATTTTATGTTCTCGTTTCCGTAGGTGTAGAGGGTGAAGGAAGAAACCTTCCCGTGATAGATACTGTGAGCGCTGCGGCCGGCGGACGTGGCGTTGTAGAAGAATCTGACGAAGACAGTGACGAAGAAAACGATGAAGGTCTTCAACACGTCATGCAGAACCTTAACACTGGAGCCACGCGCCACCGAGTGCGGATTATGGAAAATGATGGGAAAGTCAGTGTCGCAAACGACGAGGACGATTCAGACATTTCCGACGACGACGAAGACCCGCGCGGGCAGCACCATGTCCACATGGATACAACAAGAGTTGAGGAAGTTCCCGCAAAAGAGCCTCGGTTTGATATTCGACCGTTGAAGTCTGCATTGAAGAAGGCTAAGTATTCAACGGTTCAACCTCCGCAAGTGCCAATGTCTGCGATGCGTACGATGAGAGAATTCCGTGTACAACAAACTCCGTTGTTGGATACGGGAAAGATTCGGTTAGTGGCGCGCTTTCGCACTGATTTCGCAGTTTCACTGCTATTCCATTCTCTATTTAATGAGCTATTTGAAAAATTTTCCTGTAGTCTCACGAGGAAACCCAATACCGAAGAATCCACTGGAAACCCTGTTGTGACTGTTCAAGAATGTGATAGCAGTGATGAAGAGCCTGTGATGTACAGGGATGATTCGGAAGAAAGTGCGTATCGTTTAGAGACTTTCTGTCCTTCAGCTGCTGTTTTTCCTTCGAGCTCTGATTGTTGCTTATTTCTTTAGGCTTACTTTCATGCAAAGTAGCAAGGAAAGATTCTCTAGCGTTGAAACTGGCGATGAGGCCAGACAGACAAGAGTTGATCAACCGCAATATTCTGCACGCTGAAACTGAGAAAGAGCGTTTGGAATCGCGTGATGCTGTAGGTGCGAGGTTGATGAGGTCCGTAAAAGTACTGTAGTTGTAATTCTTTCCAAATTTCTCATTCGCTTTTGTGGATTTTCAGGCGTCTAAGTTTGCGTCCAACTCAAGAAGAGTTGGAACAACGTAACATCCTCAAACGTGAGTTTAATTTATTCACTTTCCTAGAAGAATGTCTCTCACTTCTGATTTTCGTGTTTTTACTGAAGGGTATGCTCCGGAGGAGGAACGAAAGCAGAAAGAGCAGAAGAAGAAGATGCTTCTGAGAAAATTAAGCTTCCGTCCAACAATTGAGGAGTTGAAAGAACGGAAAATTATCCGGTTCAACGACTACATTGAAGTTACCCAAGCTCAGGATTATGATCGCAAAGCGGACAAGCCCTGGACGCGGCTAACTGCTAGGGAGAAGGCTGCTATTCGGAAAGAATTGAATGAGTACAAGAGTACCGAGATGGAGGTGCACGAGGACAGTCGACACCTTACACGGTAAGCGTTCTCATCCCAATTGTGGCCTAGAATTATTGGATGCGTTGATCAGAAAATAAGAAGTTATTTGATTTTCGGGTGCCTCTTGGTTCTAGTGCTTTTGTTGATTTTCTGTTGTTTGTTTTTTTTTTAATTGCTCCCGGAGGAGTAGCAAGGCGTCCGCTCGTATCTTTCGGTTCAACTTTTGTTTTTCTTCAGATTCCATCGACCGTGACTGCTTTATTTGTGCTGAAGATGAAGATTCGGACCATCCGTTGAAGAGTGATGCTTCAAGAACGGAAGAATTGAGTCTTGGGTGGAGTGTTCGAGATAGCCTACGTTCTTTTGAAATCTCTCGGGAAGGATGGAATCCTGTACGGTTCTTAATACGTGTGTTGCGCTTTTATCTCGATATTTCTCGATGAAATCGATATGGGACCGTATTTACGTCAATACCCTTCAGAAGGAATACCCGTTTGACTCCACAAGGCTTGGTGAGCAATTGGCGATGACTTCATGAGGTTTTGTTGATTTTCTTCAGTCTTTCCGCGGTACTCGGGAGTATGCTGCGATTGATTTATTTTGGTACGGATATTTTTTTTCTGGCCGCGTCCTGATAATCCTCCCTTTCATTGAACTTCGTTCCGGATCACGTCCGAACAGAACTTGTGATAAAGGCGACTGGGGCTGCTGCAACGAAGATCTAATTGACCTGATCCTTGGTGATGACATTTTACTGCGAAGATTGAATTAATTTCCGTTCGCATCTTTTGCTCCAGTTTTGGAGATCATCTCACCATGCGCTAGGTCCCTCGTGTGCTGCATTACCTTTGATCCCTCTTCGGCTTCGCGGTAGATACTGTAGATGCGACGATGGAACAGGTCGACTTACGAATGCCCGCCGTGCATTTTTGTAATGATAGGATGTATTGATCAAATCTGGTGCTTCATTCGTTGTTTCTGTCGCAAAGTTTCGCTTGTCAGAGAAACGTGTTTGGACATGATCGAATTAGTGCGACGAGATCGCATTCCCTTTCCGAATCAGTATAAGCCCATGATCGCACATTTTGATGAGCCATCCGATGAACACAAATTTTACAGAAGACAATTTTAAAGAGAACAACTTGAATGCCATTGATGTGGAAAACGTAAAATTCGTCCGTCAGGGTTGGTTTTTTTCGTATATCCATGATTATTCTTTCGAACCTTTGAGAACGGCGTGCTTTTAACGGAATATCGGACCTCAACTCGCGGCATTTCAAGGTACATTATTAAAAACAATATGCTTAACCGATCTGAATTCGTCGTACTTGGATGATGTCTTGAGATTCTTTCCTCTTTGAATGGCTTAATTTATTCTGCTAACTGAGCGAAAGTGAAGGGTTGTTCTCCGTTGTTGGCACGCGCGGAGCAGAGGTTAAGGTTTTGCGTACTTGTTCAGGAGTACGATCGTGTTGAGCAGTTGAAGATGTGATTTGTTGAGGTTGGAATGGATAATCCGAGTTTGTTGGCTTTTCTTTCATCTCGGTCTTCCGCATGCGTGAGGTTTTCTTTTCATCGAAAGTCGGAACAGAACTCGGCGGAAGCGGGAGTGTCGCGACAGTGACATTTGGGTACTATCCGCGGACAATATGAGCGATTGCCAGATCTCGTGTAGTTTAGGTCTGAATCACATTTGCTTGCAATACGCGTGGTTTTCTCTTTCATTGAGAAAGGGTACATGCGAGTACATTCTCTCGATTTTGTGTAAGAGCTTGCTCCTGACGGAAGGACTGATTTCAAGGTTTCATGAAATGTTTCTAGACGATAAAATACTTTAGCCTATTTTCCGCGTGTTCGAGGTTTTCTCACGGATAGGCGAAGTCGCTGAGCTGAGCTTTGAACCATTCATCGGACAATTTTTTGTAATTGTTGATGGCTATGGTTGAATCTTGCCTCACGCATGTTCTGTGGGATGATCGAGTTCGGAGTGTGAGTTCGGGTAAGCAACTCTTGAGCTAGTGTTATTTTGCTGCGGCATTTGGTATGCGTGAGGAATGTTCTCGACTATTGGATGAAACCAGAAATTTCTGCTGCAAGTGCGTTTTATCTCTTTTGTTGGTTATTGCCCGTTCTGTGAAGAACGTACACGTCGCGTAGTTGCGCGCCTCTTCCACTTTCCTGAGCGTTTAAAGTGCGTTTGTGGCAATTTGAACTTCCTAGCAGTTGGGTGTATGCAATTTTGAAGGCCAAAAGTCGAAATACCGCCATTCGCGATGGTCAGTTTGAACCACTCTTGGAAGTTTGTGAGGTCCCTGTTCGCATCGCAATATAATCGCGTTTCATGATTGCTCAGCTAGAATTCGGAATTTTTTTTTTTATCTTCGAAAGGTATTCAGAATTGCAATACTCGCTTCGATTGCTGCTCAAGTTTGAGCTTAATCCGAATCCAACTTGCCAATCCGTAATCGTTTTGCTCGAACCGCTTTCAATCATTCTTCTGTGGTATCTTGTTCCTCTGTTATGTCAATTATGCATTGTGATTCATTACCGCGATAACAAAAAAACCGGGTTCACTTTTCGACGCTCTCTGTACTAGGAGTATTCTAACTGCTTTGCTTCGTGGATGAGTTCGGTCCAGTTGTAGACGCAAATTGTGGGCTTCTATCTCGGTGAAATGCTTGCGTGAAGGAATATTTTGCTGAATTTTTTGGCGAATGCTGTAAGTTTCGCCCTAAGTACAATCTGGACGCCAAGGATGCGTTGCTAGATTCACTCCTTGTTAAATGCTGGAGCGGAGAGCGGCATCCATTTGATATTTTATTTTACGCTCGGGCGCAGAGAGAATTACTTTTTTATTAGGATTTTGTCCCGTGGAAGAGGGTGGCAATTTTTTATCGGCCCAGAACTCTCCCGCGGGATTCTTGGGAATCGTTATCCGATATACCGAGTGAAAACTGTCGTTTGTACGTATCTTTTTTATTATATCTTGGGGAGCATGTCTTCTGTATCATGGACGCGAGTTGTACGCATGGGACGGAGTGTTCTTTACGCTGGTTCAGATATGATGAAATGAAGACATCATACAGTCACCTTGTTCTTGATTGCTGCCGTTGGTCATCATTGGATACGTTTCTCGCTGAAAGGATGATTTTCCTCCTTTTTATTTTTTTACAGGCTCTTAACAGCTTTGTGTATTTGAAGGGATCCACGAACTTGTGATTTTTTGAATCGTAATACAGTACTGTATTCATAAAATTTGTCTGGTCACCGTGTTTTCCTCGATTTAAATTGTTGCGTTGGCAGTTCAGCCAGTCGGATCACAAATATCTTGACTAGCATAACGCGACTGTTGGAACGGAGAGGTTAGTAAATATTGAAGTCCGTCGGTTAGTTGGTGATTCCACGTGGAGTTTTTGAGTACTGTATTACAACCCTTAAAATTTATTTTTTACTTTTCATGGATTCTTCCCGCAGGTTATGCTTTTTACGTTTTTGATGGAGCTTGAATTTTTTGTTCATTACGAAATCCTGCTTGTTGTAATTTTATCGACTACGGAGTATTGTGCATATTGTTTACCATGTGCTCAAGCAGAGAGATGAGTGATGGATATCTGTCTGTTTCCTGTCCCATGAAATATTGATACAGTACTGTATCAAAAGTCGGCGCACTCGGGGAAAATAAAATTACCTGTCCCCTATTATGTTCTCTCCCAAGATGTGCGAAGCCAAGACGGAAGAGGAGCAGTTCAGAAAAGTATATAAAATTACATAAGCTATGCTGAACGCTTCAGAAATACTTCCGCAAAATCTTCAAAGTACTTCTGAGTAATGCCTACAATTTCTAAATGATAGATTGCTCTGAAGTACTTCTGTCGTTCGATTTTCTCATATATTCAATGGGGAACAAACTACGAACAACTGAAGTCGTCCGTGATTTAATTTTTAGTTAACGGAAAGGGTTGCTGACAGCGAGAAGAACCTTTCTGTTGTGAACTTTTTAAAAGCTGAAGATATAAATAAATGTGAGTTCGAGGGATTTCTGATCTTCCGTTTTTAGCTAGGTTATTGCGTTCAACCCCTTTTTTCTTGATACGAACAGAAAACAATTGGTTTGTAATGTTTTGCCTATTTGAGAAGCGTGGAAATAAATATATTTAGTGTTATGATAACTTCACTAATGGTCTCAATTTTGGTTGATTAACCCCTTCAAACGTGTTGAAAATGCTTTATTTTTCAGGAATTATCAAGTGTAAATTTTCAAGTTTTAAATACTGTGCCCTGCCTTGCCATAAAAAGCAATTCTTGTTTTCAATGACTACGCGAGTCAATTCTCAGTTTTGCAGTATAGTACCGTAATAACTCACGGTCCACGATATATTCTGGAGTTATTCTTGCACAGCGCGTGCTATGGATCAAGCTGAAACTCTGAACAAGATCAAGCTGAATCTTTTCAGCTTCGATCAAGAAAGTGCAAGGTTTTTTGCGGATATTGAGCGGTGAGTATCGTACTGTTATATAAAAATATTGTCTTCGAATAAGATTATTTTTCGTGCGGTCGCAAGTCGCCGTCCTATTCTTGTTGTTCGGAAAACGTAGGAGCAAATCAAACATTTTCCACTTTCTTTGAATAACGTGAGAATCCACTGCATTCACATTTTTCCGAATGGATGTCTTCGAAGGTTGAGGCAGTCGTTGTCCACTTCTCAGACAGAAAATGAACGTGTGGAAGAGCTGAAGCGTGTGAACACCCGGCTGCTGGATAGTGTATCATCATGTGAGGATAAAATCCTTCAACTGCAACAAGATGCTTATCAGGCGAAAGCAACAAATGCTCAATTGCAGGTTGGCCTTCAGACGCCAAAAGCGCTGTACCTCAAGGAGGACATTCTCTCATTTTTTCAATTTCCAGTCCGAACTCCTGATGATGCAGAAGAAGTCTGCGGTGCCGGAGAAGAGGGTTCGACGTTCGTTTCGAAAAAGGTCGTCGAACGGAGAATTTCGCATTCCAGACAACGTCACGTCAACGTCTGACCGTCAGCCGGATCGAATCGATCCGTCCGTAGTTACAGGTGCAGTGCCGTTTAAGATTCGTGACGAAACTGAAAGAAGATTTGAAAAAAGATTGATGATCATGAGTTACTTTCGAAGATATTCAAATCTTTCGAACTCGATTGTTGCGGTGAAACCTCGGACTATTCGGGCGATTGACGGAATGCCTTCTTTCACATAAGCACGTATCACTGACGATCTTATGGCAAGACTTTCATTTACAGCGACCTAAAGTATGTAAAATATTTTACTTCGTTTAAGCCTTGCAGAGCAATACTCGCACAGACGCCTTCGAATGATCGCAATGCAATACTGTACCTGGGTTGAAATACGAAGGAAATACGTATACCATATTTAGGATTTTGATCAGTTTAAAGACTCAAACTGAAAGCGGAACTTTGGATCGACAATTTTGAGGCATGGTCAATCGAGATAGAATTTCTTCATTTTTATCGCGATTGAAATTAGTTAGGTAGTCAATGTTGACGCCTTAGGCAGACTCGGGATTTATAGTCGATTGATCGAACTTGAGCTCTTCTCAACGTTCAGCAACCGTCGCGCTTCATTGTGTGCGGTAGTGCGAGAACTGAGGTACGGAGGTGTGATTATGTGAATCTTTCTTGAGCAGATAGTGAAAATCGAGATGCGGCTGACTTTCAAGAGATTTTGGAAGACCTGTCGGAGAGGAACCTTGTGGCTTTTGAGGAGTATAAATCTAAATTGGATCTCACGGAGTTGTCGAGGAAAGCCCAACAGCTCAGGGACGCTTCTCGGATTAACGATCTGACGAACGAGTGAGTATTATTGTGAATTTTCATGGTAACTCCTTCACTTTCGATCGTCCTGCATCGAAGGATCCGTTGTAGTTATCCTGTACTTTATTTTCTAAGGTTGAGAGACTTCCGAGAATCGTTTCTCGATGCTATGCAAGTTAGATTAAACCAGCGGGAGTCCTTCTGTGAGAGCGTCAAAGTTCTGTTGAGCAAGTTAGAATCGTTCGACACATCCAGCAAGTCGAGAGATTCAACTCCTGTTTTTCGACAAGATCCAGGCGTGAAGCAGTACAAAAGACGTATCGCAGCCTTGCAGGTAAGATACATATGTTAATTTTACCGAATAAATGGTTCTATTTTACGTGGTCGTCTATAGGCGGAACTGGAAAAGGTGAAATCCGAAGGAAGAAGCAACCAGCGACTGTTGCGTGAGACGCAGGAAAAGTTGAAGACTGCCTGTGAGCAGAATCGGGTGAGATGAACCCTGGCGGCTGTTGGAAGCATTAAATACTGATGGAACTTTCATTTCATTCAAATTGCAGACTTTTTCTGAAAAATTGGCCAGAGTTAACGAAGTGTGGTCTGGGAAGTATCTGAAATTGAACGTCCGAAGGCAACGAGACGCAGAAGGCTACAGAAGTGAAATCAGCATCTTGAGGGATTCCCTGAAAAGAGCGAATGAGCTCCTTTTCAGAGCCATGGCCAAAGGGAATATTCCGAAGCCGTGTTGAGATTTTTGCGATTATTGTGCAATTCTCACTCAAATTTTGTACAAGATTCCTTTTGTGGATTATGCATATTTTTCCACGGAAAAGGAAGCTGTTCCAATGGCGACATTTGACGCTTAGTTTGAAAGATTGACGGCTCTCCCAAAATTTTTAAGCCTTTGAATCGATTTATTTCTTTCGTAAGTTTTTCAATAAACATATTGTTTTGCTCATCCACTGCGAGTTTTAATGATCCTTGCGGATTGTGTGCACTGCGACAAGTGCATCTTACATGTACAGTATTCGTGAATTGTTCCTTTTTTATGCCTGCTGTCTCTCTTTAGTACAGTAAATTCGATTCCAATGGGTTTGATTTACCTTTTTTTTTTTTTTAGAACTTTCTCGAACTGTATGTTCAGCGTTGAACGAATTTCGTCTGCAAATGGGGGAGACTGCTAGGGCAATTCCTGGATGCTTCTTGGGTGGACTCTTAACGCTGAATTGTTGATCGCGGACTGATCAACTTTCCTGGCATGTCATTCTTAGCTGTAGGAATCGTAGAAGTGTATACACTGTACAGTCCTGGGATTCTAATTCTTCACGCGCGCGCCTGGAAGTAGCGCACAAATCTCGTTTCGGCATCATAGCTACCTCATATAAAAAATCAGGCATGGAATGGCTTATGCGAGCAAATCTTGAGAGTCTTAACTGCCATGAAATCGAGGACACCGCATGATTAGTTTTTGTCGTGTTGATTCTTTCGCGTGCGATCACTGTGAAAACTTAGCTCCCGACGCCTGCTGTTACAGAATGTAGGCTGTAGGAATGGCCCGAATAACTAACGACGCATGCGGATGAGCTTGCCGTTCGTTCAGTTTCCACTTTATAGATGCATGATCAGATGGGATTTTGAGAGCACGACGTGACATTCGGTTCACTGCATGCGTTTCATACCCGTAGCATAGAGGAAGAAAAACCCACAATTGCACTAGCTGTTCTCGATAGAATTTAAATAAAATTGTTCTTGAACAGGATGAAGATCGAATGTTACTACTGTATAAACGTATGAAGTAAAACCGAGGTGCGGTGTCTGTCGGCGACGCGTTGGACTTCCTGCAGTTGAAAATGTACGTAGTCGATGTGCCATACTGTGGAGGTGATACTCGAACATCAGCTCATCCAGATAGTAGTACCATCTATACAAGAGCATACAGTATTATGAAGAATCGTCTAATACTCCAATTTGTTGCATCTTTTCATTCTATCCTTGAATAAAAATAAGGAGGACGAAGGGAAGCGGAAACAGTTTTTTTGCAAACATCCAAAAATAAGCTTCCACGCAGCATCAAAGAATTGTAGAGCTCGAAGCCAAGAACAAAAGAAAATGGAATTTTCAACTCCCCTTCAGCTCCCAACGCCTGAATATTTTTCAGCAATAATATCATCAACAAATACAGCAGTAACAACCATCACAACAATATATAAGCGTCCATCACTGTGATTTTCGTCAAATTTCAAGCCTGCTGCGCGTCATGGCTTTTTATGCATCGTATATTTTGCGTCGAAATCTCCTGTAGCGCTTTTACAAGAGCTGGCTTCTCCAGCATGATCGATGAAAAAATCTCTAGCTCAGGCTTGTTAAAATATACCTTGAGGGAGAACGAAAATCTGCGATGGGTTGGACGATTTCATTTTTCGTTTCGGAAAGTATTTTGCCCTTTTGTCCAGTACAATGGAGAGACGAGTTAAATCAATTAGCTCTCCACATTCTTATAACCAAGATTAAATATTTTGACTATGCTGTAACTCGAGCATGTAAATTGAGCACCATGCGCAATTTCCCCCATCAAGAATTAAGCAGGAAAACAAGATCACGTTATGTCTTGGTAAGTACAGCAGTACACGTTGAACTGAGTTTTACGCCATTGTTTAAAACACATTTTCTTGACAATCAATCAGCTCGTATGCGCCTTTCAAGTGATTGATATTACACAAAACAGGGGCGCGGCGCGTGGTAAGCAAGAATAAATACCTAATTGTACTGTAGTACATACTGTATCCATGCAATAGCAACTCAAAGATCATTGCTCTAGTTCATGTTATCAGTTGAAGTATAAGCGCTTCACATTCGCTTGACCATGCTTTTTCATTTGACAGCAATGCTTTCAATTTTATTTTAACAGAAATCCAAGCTGGATCCGTTTAAATAAACCGTAAATCTTAATTTTTCAATACCAAATCCACTTGTTTTTTTCGATCAGCCGAACCCAGCGTGCGATCCGGTTCGGACCGTTCTCTGAAAAGGAGAAATTGAGGTTCCCTGCGAGGAAACCCTCTCTGCCGCTGATCAGTCAAGAAAAGAACCCATCCGACACTGGAACTTATCCCGTGAATGCCCGGCGGAGGCGGCACAAGAACCCGTAGCAGTAATCAGCAAAACCTCGCAGAGATCCCATCATTCCGCCCGAGGCTGCGGGTGTCGAGTCAAACCGGTTGCCAAAAACTGCTGGGCCCCAGTTGGGGAACCTATGGAATGGGATATTCAGCGGTATTTGCATCCTCGTCTCTGGGTCATACATCCAGGGGTCTTGCTGGTAATAACGACCAGAAGTTTCGCCATCGTCCGTGATGATGACTGGCTCAGATGCATTGAAGGAGCTTGTGTCATTGTCTGCAATCGCTGTTCGCAGAATGGGATCTTTCATAATGGCATCGGTTCCGGACTCCGTGGCTGGACGGCAATTCACCATGCTGTAAAGGGTCACGAGCAGCAACGACGCGAGAAGCACTTTCGCGCAATTCATGGCTGGAAGCACTCAGGAGTCTGTCTTATTCCTGCATGGGTAAAGTAAACCTGAAGCGTGACTCAGCAGTTGATGCTAACGACCATTTTGAAACCCTGTATTTTACCAGCATCCGGACATTATAGCCCAGCACCCAGCAGGTTTATATGCGTGCATACATGCACACGGTAACACTAAAACTACGTCGTATTTTCTTGGCCAGAAAAAATTGCTTGTCATCCATTCGGGTTTCAGAAAGAAAACTGCTGATGGTAGACCAAAGAATGCGCATCTCTCACACACAAATAAGATGGTCAGCTTCCTTTATATTCGCACTTATTCCACGAGATTCGATTCGGAAGTAAATTACAGCAGATATTTTGAATTCGAGCTTGAAAAGGCCTCAAGAATATATATATATATATACTGTATATCCATAGACTGTAATGTATAAAAAAATCTGAAAGGCCTCCAGATTTTCTCATACATACTGTAAATATACATATACTGTACTGTAAATATGTAACGAATAAAATATCTTGAGGCCTTTATATGCATATAAACAATAAGAAATGAAAATTATCTGACGAGTTGCAGTATTTTTTCCCTTCTATAATAATATTTCATTTTTTAAAGAGTATTGCGGAGCATTTTGAAATTTTTTTAACTTGTGAACTTTCTTCGCAGATGACTGAGATACTTTTAAAGACATTCCTCTCTTTTTTTTAAATCTTTCAGGTGAACAAAAAATGCGTATAAAGTTGAATGACGTGGCAGCGGTACTTGCTTGATGCGCTTATTTTTCTCAAGTGATATTCCTTAGCAGACCCAGTAAAAGGTTTGTCAAAATAACGTGGCAAGTTATTTGTACTGAAGGTACTGCACTGTATATAAAGTCGTATGCCCAAACTTTTGTAAGACTTTTTCCAAAAATCATTCAAGGATAATCTTCGGTATTTGTGTCAGCTTTATGCGCTGCCACTTTCATCAGAATTTGTTATGTTTGACAATGAGAGGCACCCTTTACATTTTCAACAGTTTAAGGAGAATTTATGAATTTAAAACTGAGAATTCCACTGTGTCTACTTGAAAAATGAAACGCGCCAAACGACAGATATTTTCTTTCAGACATTTTCAATCATTGGCCTATGAGCTTTGAGCCAAAGCAAAAAACGTGCTTCAGAAATGAAATACTTTGCTGTCGATACAGTTTTACTTTATTGTAATGTACTGCACAGTTTATTTTTTCAATGTAGCATTGAGGTGTACGAAAAAGTGGGTTTGAACATCCAAATAGTAGTTTCTGATGGTGAATTGCTGTTCATAATTGTTTGCAAAATTCAAAGAAAAATTTCATACATCTTGATATGCAGAGTACATTATATTGGAAACGCCAGAATTTTTATAACATTTTTTGAAGAAATTTTGATTCAATGTCATAACATATACGGTATTTTCAATTAGGGTTGATGGTAATTTTATAATCATCAAATATTCGCAACGGAATTGCGAGTTCTGGATGCAAAATAAAGTTCTGTATTCAAAATTCAACCATTCTACCGCACTTCCCCTCACACATTCACATACAATCATATTTTTGTTTGCAGGCAGAAGGAAGTCAGCCAGTGCGTTGAAAAGGCTCAGCGTGTCAAGATAAATCAACTGCAGTGTTTTAAATATATTTGAATACAGTACAGTAATACGTTCGTCAGCTCACTATGAGAAAAAAAAATTCCCTAAGAATATCCGTGAAGGATAAACACACGCAGTTCAAAAGGAATTCACACAGGATCAAAGCTAGGAATCATTTTACGAAATTGAAATGCTTGAAATGAATTTATCAATAAGCCATTCAATATTGCTATAGAAAAACATGGTGAGCTTCATCATCGCAACTGATCATGATGGTAATTTTCTTTCATGAATTGACAATTTTCTGATAAGAACTTTCAGCTTATAGAAAAAAACCCCTTGACACGGATTTTTATGATTTTATTTTATTTTTTCTTTTGTCGCTGCACGGCGACCCGCACCATGAAATAAAGGCTTCGGGTCTGTCGGCCGACCAAGCACCGATAGCATAAAAAAACATATTTTTGGTTTGCACTCGACCATCACCGAAGTTCTTCGGTCTGCTTGAAACCGACGCTCGAGACACGCGAGTTGCTCCGCGCCGTGATCGTGACTGGTGACTTGCGTACACGAATAACGCACAACATGCTTGGCTCAATCCGAGCTCGACCGACTTTCGGCGCTCATAATTGCTCATTGCCCCAGCTCCCCCCCCCCCCCCACAAAAATGAAAGAACAGTTCTGAGCATCTTTCTGGCAATCGCCACCATACACGGTGCCTTTCTTGAAAGCAGTTACCGAGTACGCTCACACGATGCAGCATCATCTCCCTCGAATGCATGCTCTACTACTCACAGCTCCGATACAGACTGCAGGCA